TTAGATTCTCAGGAGCGTGAACCCTATTGTAAACTGCTCATGCAAGGGATCTGAGTTGCACATTCCTTAAAAGAGTCTAATTCCTGAAACCATCACTCCACTCCCTGTCCATGGAAAAATGGTCTTCCACGAAACTGGTTCCTGGCTCAAAAAATGTTAGGGGCTACTGTTATAAGATTTTCTGTAGGTGGTATTTCATTGCCACAGTAGCACTACCTTTGAAAGCTTCCCAGCTCACGTATATTTAAAGAAATAATTCGGTGGCTTAAGCCTGTAATCCCAGCACTTTGGGAGGCCGAGGCGGGTGGATCACAAGGTCAAGAGATCGAGAACATCCTGGTCAACATGGTGAAACCCCATCTCTACTAAAAATACAAAAAATTAGCTGGGCATGGTGGTGCGTACCTGTAATCCCAGCTACTCAGGAGGCTGAGGCAGGAGAATTGCCTGAACCCAGGAGGCGGAGGTTGCGGTGAGCCGAGATCGGGCCATTGCACTCCAGCCTGGGTAACAAGAGTGAAACTCCGTCTCAAAAAAAAAAAAGAAATAATTGACAAGTGCACTTCTAACTGAGCCACACAGCTTAGAACATCAGTTCAGGAACAGTGGTGTGCATTGTACAGATTTTGCTTTCCTGCCTCAGCTTTCGTAAAGGCACTGATGGTTAAGCAGCACTTAACCAGAGAACAGATAACATACAGACTCTAAGCCACTACAGTGTGACTGTTGCAGATCATTTACCCTGACTTTCCTCATCAGAGAAATGGGGATGCTGTTTTCTGTCGCAGCTCCCTTCAGGGTGGTTGTGAGAAGCAAATGAGGCTATGACAGGTAAGGGCTGTTTGACAGAGGTGTCAGAAGCTCCCACAGAGACCACACTGGCAGCAGCGGTGTTCTTTACAGTTTTGAGAAGCATGCTCCATTTCATTTTATTTTATTTTATTTTATTTACTGATTTTATAATGGAGTCACGCTCTGTTGCCCAGTCTGGAGTGCAGTGGTACGATCTCGGCTTAGTGCAACCTCTGCTTCTGAGTTCAAGCGATTCTCTTGCCTCAGTCTCCTGAGTAGCTGGGATTACAGATGTGCACCACCATACCCAGCTAATTTTTGCTTTTTTAGTAGAGGTAGGGTTTCACCATGTTGGCCATGCTGGTCTCAAACTCCTGACCTCAGGTGACCCGTCCACCTCAGCCTCCCAAAGTGCTGGGATTGCAGGTGTAAGCCACCGTGCCCAGCCCACACTCCATTTTAGAAAGGAAGGTTGGGGAACTTTCATCCAGGACACACAGCATGTAGGGATGACCAGTCTCCTTAGTGGCTGATTACCAAAGAGAGGCTATCCCTGGAAGATTGACGTGAAGCTGTGCTCAGTAACAAGGAAAGAAATAGAAGAGAGGACCCAGTTCGGCAGAAGCCAAGGACTTTCCCAAGGTTCACGTGAGGGCTGCTATTCCCCACAACCTGAAAGAGCAAAGATCAGAAAGAGTTAAAAACAGAGGAGATTATCATTGGTTAAATTGTGTGGAGCTTTAAAAGTGAAGATGTTTATCCAGACACATTTTTCAAAGCTCAGTATGGACTAAGATCGTATCTACATTCTTGCTGCCATGTTTTGCAGTGTGCTCTTCATGGGATTTTTTACATAGTTTTCTATGAAGTCAGTACTTAGAAATCATTATAGTGTTCCAAATATAAGGAATTCACATTTTGAAAATGTTTTGCTGTTGTCCAGCCTTCTTAACATACATATTTAATTACAAGACATGAGGATTAATGGGACTTTGAATATTTAAAGCCCTTTTCTCGAGATTAATTTGATTTAATTACTCCTGATATAGGCGTCTGCAGCGCTGGTGACTTGCCACATGGCCAGGAGTGTGAGAGCAGAGGGGCTGAGACCGGGACTGCTCTCAGGTTGGCTTCTGGCATTTTACTTCCTTCTCCACTACTGCCCCTCCCCTCTCACTTTTAGCTCACCACTTTGTCTTTTCAGTTTGCTGAGGAAAGAAGAAAAAGTAGTAGAATTTGCCTTGATGCAGTTTACCGTGTAGCTCACTGTTTTAAAAGTTGTAATGTTTAGTTTACATCCATTAGTGTCTAGGAAAGTAAGATAACAGAACAATTTCTATAGCCCTTCTCTCCCAAAGACAAAACAATCCTCCCTTACACCCTGGCTTCCATCCCAGGGCTTATATGGGGAGGAGGAAAGTACACAGGCTAACAGAACATGGACCGAGAAAGGGGCCTCCTGACATTAATCATGTTTTATCCTTGGAATTCTGAAGATGAAGATCAAGAGGCTGTGAAGCAAAGAGGAGGAGATGGTTTTGTTCAAGCTCACTATGTTCCTTTCCACCTCCAGCTGCCACAGCCAGGGGAGCTACCTCCATGCCCACCTATCTGTGTTGGACATTGTCCATGGGCAGCCCAGCCACTGGAAGCTCACGGCCCGCAGTGAGGCATAGAGGCAGAATGAAGAGTGACCTGCCAGGAACCAAGATGGCAGCTTGAGGGCAGGCAGAAGCTGCCTTCATCCAGAGCGTGGCTCACTGTCAGCAAGAATCCTGAGCCCTCTTTTCACCCCTCAACCTTTGCTGTGTAAAAATTGCTCAAATCTGACACCCTCCTGCACATCTGGAAGCCTGTAGGGTGACAAAGCTGCAAACCAACACTCTTCCACCACAGCCCCCCATGCAGGAGCTCCCAGGCACACTTTCCTTCTTGGGGAAAATTTTACTGACCTCTCTTTTCGTCACCTTAAAAACCTGAGGCATATCATTTGGTTTACTAGAAGAAAGAACTCTAAAGTTTTATTTTTCCTAACCATATGTGAGTTGCCTTAAAGAAGACACTACTTGGACACCCACTGGAATTGCTGTTAGGGTGTTCGGCTATTAGTCAAGTCCTTTTTTCTCAGTGGCAAGGGAACAGCCACCACAGCCTGAGTAGAACTGGGAAAGCTGTACAACTACATGGGATGGGCTTTGCTGCTCCTGACATCAATCAGACTTGATTTCCAAAAAACCTAAGGAACATCGAACTGCACGGGCCAACCCCAGGAGAAGCTGCTGGCTGGTGCTTCCTAGAGTAGGTCAAAGCTGACAAACTCCAAGAGGAGCTTGAAGCTCAGCATTTCTTTTAATGCAGAGGCTGAGCTCAGAAGGCCCAGCTTGTGGAAATACAGGTCTCACCATCACAGACCAGCACCTGAAACTGCCAGACCAAATCAGCTTGCTGCTGTCTTGATCCTCTTCACACATCCCATCTACTGGGTCTTGTCCTTAGCTCAGCAGTAGCCAGCCTTCTCACCAGACACAAGTGATGCTTGTCCCTATTCTTTGTGCAAGCTGGAGAACTCATGTCTTATTTATCTCTTCTCTGTGATGATGGCCATAGCAACTAAGCTGTAAAATTGCTCTACTTGTCTTGCACTTTTAATGGGTTTTATCCAGACACTGGTGATAATTATATGACTCATTGATTATCTATTGCTGTGCTGAGCACTTTAGAAACAATTCTGATCCTCACAGTAACCCTGAGAGGGAAGTGTTGACATTGTCCTCATTCTCCTCCGTGGGCTCACTAAGGCTCCAGGTTAAGTGTGCACTCAGAGGATTAAAACTGGTGCCTGTCTCCCATCACGAGACTTAGAGAATGTCTTATGTGTTCAGAGAATTCAGATGAGGTGGTTAAGTCATGATGTTATGTGCCTGTGGCCTTGTCTCTCCACATGGAGGATGGCGGTGATACGGGACCCACCTCAGGATGTGGTGAGCAGTCTGGCAGCACCACTCAGATATAGACATCTCTGGGCACTGTTGTAGGAAAATAACCGTTGTCCAGTATTGAGCTCATATGTTTTCTCATTTAATCTTTACCTTAGCCAGGTGTGGTAGTGTGCACCTGCAGTCCCAGCTACTTGGGAGGCTAAGACTGCAGGATCACTGGAGCCCAGGAATTGAAAGCTGCAGTGAGCCTCCAACTTGTGCATTGTACCACTGTACTCCCGCCTGGGTGACAGAGACCCCATCTCTTTAAAAACAAAACGAAATCCAGCAAGGTATTTTGTTTTCCCTGGGAACAAAGAAGCCAGGACCTGCTCAGCGCATGAGCCACCACACCTGGCCACTTTCTGCATTCTTAAAGAGTTTGTGACCCTGTCATGGTTGGCTATGATTCCATCACACAGATGTATGTTGGTTTACCCATACTTGCCTCTGAGCTAGAAATGTAGGGTGTTTTCTGGTTTTGCTGCTATAATTAATGCAATGCCAAATTTATATGTAAAGCTTTTTCTTTTTAGAATTATTTCTTAGGTTAGATCCCCGGAGTAGGACTCTTGATTCCAGGAGAATCCATTTGCTTAAGACTCTTGGAGTACAATTTCAAATTTCTTTCCAAAAGTATTCCACATGGTTATTCTAACTGTAGTGCATGCTACTTATTTAAAAGTAAGCCGGCACAGTGGCTCACACCTGTAATCCCAGCACTTTGGGAGGCTGAGGCGGGTGGATCACAAGGTCAAGAGATCGAGACCATCCTGGTCAACATGGTTAAACCCCGTCTTTACTAAAAATACAGAAAATTAGCTGGGCATGCTGGCACGTGCCTGTAATCCCAGCTACTCAGGAGGCTGAGGCAGGAGAATTGCCTGAACCCAGGAGGTGGAGATTGCGGTGAGCCGAGATCGCGCCATTGCACTCCAGCCTGGGTAACAAGAGCAAAACTCCATCTCAAAAGAAAAAAAAAAAAAAGGTAAAAATGTCGGCCGGGCACAGTGGCTTACACCCATATCTCAACAGTTTGGGAGGCCAAGGTGGGTAGATCACTTGAGGTCAGAAGTTAAGATCAGCCTGGCCAAAATGTTGAAACCCCATCTCGACTAAAAATACAAAAATAGCTGGGCATGGTGGTGGACACCTGTAGTGCCAGCTACTTGGGAGGCTGAGGCAGGAGAATTGCTTGAACCTGGGAGGCAGAGGTTGTAGTGAGCCGAGATGGCGCCACTGTATTTAGCCTGGTGACAGAGCAAGACTGTCTCAAAAAAAAAAAAAAAAGAAAAAAAGAAAGTAAAACTGTCGTCTCTTCTTTAGGCCAGAGATTGGCCGCCCCAAGCTAGATAGTGACACATGCTGCTCCATGGCTGCCCTTTTAGAAGGACAAGTATGAGAATAACCTGGTCAAGTAACCTCTGAGGTGATTCCAAAGGATTTCAAAACAAAATAGGGATTTTTGGAGTATAGATTTGAGCAAAAGCCAGTGTGGGCCGGCACATGATACAGAATCTGCCAACTTTGCAATTTAGAAAAGGGGAAAGAAAGCCAACAGTTTTTTCCTGGCAGCGTGGGCCCACTTGGTCTCAGGCCCCCGTGTCTGCTGAGTGAACAAGTCTGCAAGCATTTCTCCATCATCCCCACCCTGAGAGGAGGCAGCAGCCAGCCACAGAAGCAGTATATACAGAGCCAGAGTGCCACTGGGCTGTGACACCATCATCCACCAAGGTTGCTGTGGCACAGGGAGTTTGGTCATCTTTGTAGTATTCTTTAGAAGACCCCTGAGAGTGACCACCCTTAGGGGCTGTACAGATCCCATCTTCGCATTGAACTTGCTTTTGAATTTGGCCTTTTCACCTCTTACTCTCCTTTTCTGGGTGTTTCCTGTCTATTTAGTCAGGATTGAGGGATGTCTGATCAGATGCCATGGTCAGTCAGTAAGCTAAAGCGTTGAAGCTGGACAGTGTGGTCTGGTAAGTTGAGACCAGTGAGGCTTGGGCCAACACATCAGACAGAAAACTGCCCCCAGTTGAGCAGTGGGACTTGTCATTGACTTTAAGGAAGAACAACGTTGAAAGGTTCTCAGTGTGGTCAGTGGAGAACAACGTTGAAAGGTTCTCAGTGTGGTCAGTGGCTAAAGTTAATCAAGGAGAGAGGAAGACACTGTTCTTGGTGCTGCAGGTCCTGCCTAGCCCTTGAGGCTTGAGAACACCCCTTGGAATAAACTAGAGAGGGAGGTACACTGGGTCAGGGGTACAGATTTCCTTTCAGAAGCTTAGAAGTTAATGGGGATGTGGTAATCCACAGTTGCTTCTTTGTAGCTATAAAATGTGACATGTGTTTGGAGCCAAGGATGACTTTTCTCTTTCAGAATAAAGTTTGCATTTTTTCCTAAAACAGGTAAATGATGGGAGATGAAACCAGACGATAATTCAGATTCTGGCCCCAGATAATTGCTTGGATTTCTTGAGATAGGGAGGTTCCTACGTTTGGCATAGTGTGAGAAACATTTAAGGTGTTGCTAAAGGCGCGGGTGGCTCTTCAGTGTCTCTGAAGAACCACAAACAGTTCAGGTCTTATCCAGATTATAAGGGAGAGGCTAGCTGTGCAAGAGCCGGGGACAAGCCAGTCAGGTGAGAACACAGGAGTGAGACCCCAGTGCAGAAAGGGTCTGGGGTATCTGTGGGGTATGGCTGGAGGCTGCAGCAGGCTGCAGCATGAGAAGGGAGTGAGGGGTGGGATGTCCTGAAGTCCAGGCTCTCTGCCACAATCTAGCCAGAGGGGATCTAGGCTGGGTTCTGTATCCAAATAGGAGTGGGTTAGGTGTGAGGTGCATTTTGGAGGTGGAACAGAAAGGACCAGCTGGAGGAATGAGTGGAGGTAAAGAGGAAAGAGGAATTGGGTTTTGTTGCATGAGCAGCCAGTGGGTGGCTGTGTCCTTCATGGATACAGGGGAGCCAAGGGACCAGAAGTGGTGCTTCAGACATCTTTTGTCTGGGACGCCTTTTAGGCATCCAAGTGAACGTGTTGAATAACTAGTGAGCTGACAAGCCAGCCAGGTGGAGGGCTCAGGTAGGAGACGTGGGCTTGGGGGAGTGGACCGAATTCTGTGATAACAGAGCTGGCCAGGGGCAGGGCAGGGAACAAAGGAACCACAAGAAGTGACTTCCCTGTTGGACTTTGAAGACGGTATTAGAGCATGAAGAGCCTTCCGGAAGAGGACACAGAGTGTAAAAGAGGAGTGTGTGTGTTTCCAGGGTGAGTTAGGAGGCTGGAAGCTTTAGGGCTGGCTCATGGAGGGGACGTCTCCTGTGTGAAGAATGTGGACTTCTTCCTGACTGCAGCAGGAAGTCTGTCTATAGTCATTAAGCAGGGTCGTGAAATGATCAGATTTAGCTTTTCACATGATTATTCTGGCAGCAGAGGACTGAGAGCACCACGATCCCAGCAAGAGACACCCAGGACCCTCAGGGACTTGCTCCAAATACAGGTCCCTGGTTTGTTTCTAAGAGCTTAACTGTGGAGGTGCCTGGCTCACCTGCCCAGGGACTCTGGCCGCTTAGCAAAAGGGAGGGTGAGGGATCCGGCGGAGCATGATGGCCTGGCTGCTGAATTCTGTCCTGCCTAGGGTCTAAAGATGTTCTTATTCCCACAGGGCCAGTTGTTAGAAATGCAGGCAGTGACACAGATGCATTCTTCTCTCAGTGGTGCCTTTTTTTTTTAATTGTTCCCTGCAGCAGCACATTCCATGGCAGATTCCATGACAGGGCTACTCTTACTCTTGATTTCAGTGGTTTTGATTTTATGTCTGTTGCCATAGTGCCTGGAGCTAAGCCTTATCAAATAATTGCACATCTGGTGATCACTTAGGCTTCTAGAAACGTGAAGCAGGGAGGATCCTCAAGGGACTCTGGTCAGCACTCCTGCTGCTGAGAGGCTTCACCACATTCCCCCAGACTCACCAATAGCCTATTACACTTGATACACCTGTGTGTGCGCACCAGCGCACTCAGCGCCCCCCTCCTCACAACCCAGCCCCTTGTGAGGCTGGCTGGACCACAGCTTGCCGTGTTCTGCACCATTCTAGGGCAAAAGGATTTGCCCAAAGTATGTCACTAGACGTGACAAAACAGGCCCTTAGTCCAGTGCCTTTGGCAGGGGCTAGCTAGCTGGAGCAACACGGCCATATTCAGATGCCCATCCCACCACTTGTTAGCTGTGTGCCCGTCCCCCCTCCCCCGCCCCACCTGAGGGTGACAGGATCCTCCTGAAAGTCTGTTAGGAGGATTAAATGATCCGCTAAATAGGATTTTTCATTCATAAGCACTCAATAAATGGTAGCTGCTGTTGTTATTCATCCCACTGTATCTAATCTCTCTACTTTTTTTTTTTTTTTTTTTTTTTTTTTTTTTTTTTATTTTATTGCACTGATCTCTCTACTCTTAAATTTTACAACTTTACTCAGTGTTCTTTAAAATATTCTATACTTATGGCTCCCATTAATTTCCTTGTTCTTTGGAGGTCATTTCTAGTCCCTGTGTGGTCAGGGCTATTGGAGGGCAACTGTTAAGCCAGCCATTCTCCCCACTTCCTTTCCAGGAGCTTGCCCTTATCAGCTATATGGAGACCTTTGCCTCTTAAGTTGTCCAGTCCAGCTCTCACTGTCTTCCCTGCTGAGCTGGTGTCCACAAATCTGCTCTGTCACCTTCTGTGTGAGGAACAGCCTGTCCAGCTTATCTCACTGCTGTCAAACCACAGTGCGGGGTTTCCTGGAAGCACACTTGGAGGGTAGCAGGCCCAGGAGACACAGTTGTGACTGGAGCCATGGTGGAGCAGCAACTGATATTTATGTCACTACAAGTGCCAGCCTTCTTATAAGCACTCCTTTTATACATAGGGAAGCTGAAGCTGGGAGATGTCAGGTCACTTGCCCAAGGTCACTTGAGAAAGTAACCATGGTGGACTACTCAGATTGGCCCAGAGCCAGTCTCCTGACCACCAGGTCATGTGGGGATGCCAGGTGGCATGAATCTCTGGATCTCATTTTTCTCTGTTCTCGGGAAGGTGGTAATGTAGGTCAGTCCTTGGTAATTGTTAGCTCCCTGCCCAGGGCCTATCAGCCTTAACATTCCTCTGATCCTGTTTATGAAATGAAGGTAATATGTTGACATTGCAGAAGCTCAGAGAACGTAACTGAAAGTCTTGTAAATGGCAGTAAAATGGGAAGATTTTTCAGGCCAGTTTTCTTTGTTGATCTGGTGGGGAGCTAAACGTTACAGCAGGCGGTCAGCAGAGGGCCCCAGAGCCTCAGAAGTAAACCTAGATTTGGTTGCATGCCTGAGTATTGGCAAATTTCTGTAGCCAGGGCCCTTTGGCTCCACAGGGGTGTGTCAGGCATTGGAGTGCACCTCTCTGAGCTGGGAGGGAAACTCCAGCACCACCAAGATGAAGATAGGTGTGTGGGAGAAGGCAGAAATTATCAAGAACAGTTGTAAAATCTGATCACCTGGTAATATCACTGTGGTCCTGCTCCATTTAAGAGTGTGGGTGTGTGAGAACAAGGCTAGGGCTGTGTATGTAAACCAGGAACCCGGAAGAGAGCAAGGAGCTGTTTCTTTAGCTCCCTTACATTCCGGTATCCCCCTTCCTCTGATTTCTACTGGATTCTGACTTACTTTAATGGCCTCTGTATAAACAACCTTCCCCTTGGGCAGACTCTGATTCCTGAGATTTCCTGAGCAACAGTCCCGGGACTCTGCACAGGAAGTGAGGAATGAGGTCAGGCCAGTGCTCCCAAAGTGCTGGGATTACAGGCGTGAGCCACCACGCCCAACCTGATCTCTCTACTCTTAAATTTTACAACTTTACCCAGTGGATTCACCTGCTCTCATAGCAATTAGATGGTAATTTCCAGACCTGTTCTTAGTCACTTCTTTCCAACCTGATGATGCTAACACCGATGTAAAAGATGGACAAATGGTTAAGCACAAAGTGCTTAGGATGGTCCCTTCATAAGGGTTTACTATTATAATCTACCAAAAGCCATACATGTGAGCTTTTGATACAGCCTATATCTTTTATTTCATTCTTTTTTCTTTCTTTATAGAGGAAAGCATGAGAAAATGACAAGAAAACCCAAAGAATATGGTTCTGTGATTAGCAGTCCAGTCTTGGGAGAAAACTTACCTAGCGCCCACCTTTAGTGAATACAGGTGGCATTGTCCAGACCACCCATCCAGTAGATAGAGAACATAATGTCCAGAAGCAAAAGATGACAGCAGATAGCGATTCCTTGGCTGGTGTCGCAGAAGCACATGCTCAGCAGTCTCTAAGTCACATGTGTTTGCTCTAAAATTAACACCTGGACAATTTAGAATTAATGCTATTAGAAAATGAAATCACTTCTGTTTTCCACACTATGTAAATCATACATCAGAGTGCCCTAAAAACGAGTGGGGTGTGTAGTATCTGTAGTGGTATTTTCCTTAGATCAGGCCACTAGTTAGGTCTCTTACAAGGTTCATTTCATGTGGTTGGTAGGTTTTGGTTTGGTTTGGTTTTTAAAGAACAATATTCCTTCCCTGTGGCAAATAATGGGCCTTGGATGGTGTTTTGTCCGTTGTTCACTGGTCCCATTTTGAAGTGCCCCAGGTGCATGCACACCTGGTCATAAACCCAGGGCCAGCCTTAAATCTAGCCTGGGACAATGGCCAGAGAGGAAGTGCTTGGAACCTGAGGCCAGTAGCTTTTTTGTGTCACAGCTCAGGTTGCACTGTGTGTTTGTGAGTTATCTTTCTCTCTCAGTTGTTAGGCCTGAAATGCCATATTCCTTAAGAATAGGGACATAGGGGACCCAGCCTTTTCAGCTGGAAGCTACTTCTCCCAGTTGTGTGTGTATTCCTCTCTGGTGCTCTCTCCAGCGTCCAGGTGTCTTGTGTGTGCCAGGAGCCCCGTAAGAGCTGTGGTGGCCACACAGCCAGGCAGACAGGATGGACGGGAGGCTGTAAGGAAAAGCAGAAGCCACTGGCTTGGCCTGAGCACTCAATGCAGGTGCGGCTGGAGATAGGGTTTTGCCATATTGGCCAGGCTGATCTTGAACTCCTGGCTCAAGTGATTGGCCTGCCTTGGCCCCCCAAAATGTTGAGATACAGGTGTGAGCCACCACGCCCAGCCTCAAGTTCTTTCGTTTCTAAAGAAATGTCTTTCTCTCCAGCTATACACCTTACAATTTTATGCAAACTTTTAACACAAAGCAAAGCTGGCCTTAAAAGAGCTGATGACAGGTGCAAAAAGTATGATTCTGAACCAAGTCAAGCCCCATCTGTGAGAACAGCCACCAGGGAGGCGGAGGTTGCAGTGAACCCAGATCGTGCCATTGCACTCCATGCAGCCTGGGCGACAGGGCAACACTCTGTCTCAAAAAAAAAAAAGAGAGAGAGATGGAGGTCTCCCTATCTTTCCCATGCTGGTCTCGAACTCCTGGGCTCAGGTAATCCTCCTGCCTCAGCTTCCCAAAGTGCTGAAATTACAGGTGCGCACTACTCCACCCAGCTATTTTTTTTTATTTTTTGTGGAGACAAGGTCATGCTGTGTTGCCCAGGCTTAATATTTTTCTTACTTGCTGTGATGACATAGGGGTGTTTTATTCTCCGAATCTAGTCAAAGGGAGGAATTCCTTGCAGGCCCTCATTCTGGGCTGTGGCCTTGGCCTCCTGCACTTGATCCTGTGACTTGCTCTCTTCCCTGCAAACTGCCCTATGTGACAGGTCAGCTTTGCTGTTCTTCACGTCACCCCCAGTTGGAACCTACAGTGGCTTCTAAAGCCTTTGTCACTATTGTTAGTCTGGCCCCTTTCCTTCTCACAAATCAGGCCAGTCCCCCACCTGCCTGCCTCTCTTCTTACAGATGCTTTTGCCCATCCTCCCACCTGTTCTTCACCTATTGGCCAGTACTGCTGTCTCTACAAAACCATCTCCAGCCCACTCCACTCTGTTGAGCCTGTTCTTGAATAGCAGCTATACTGACAGGGCCATGCTAATTACTGTCAGTGGGCAGGGTAGATAGGTGAGCGGGCAGAGACCATGCTGTACACCTTGGGGCTTCATAGAAGAATCTCAGTAATCACTGACTTCCCCGCTTGGGGTGGTGCTGGTGACGAGTGCAATACTGCCCACAGGTGGGGCATTTGGCGTTGTAGAAGACACATTGGTTTCAAGAGGTAGAAAGTGGAGGGAATGCCCACTCCATGCACATATGCCCCCATCCCACCCTGAGTCAATGGAGAGATGGATACATCTGCCCATGTCTCTTGTTAAGACACAACACACCTATAAACCGCAGATCCTGAGCTGTAGCCCAGGACATCTCAGTGCTTTGTACATTTTCAGATTTCAAGACATCCTCTTTGGTCAAATGATAGAAACCAGTAGGGCTCCTCAGCACTGTCCTGGGAGTGTGCTCCTTGTGTCCCAGAGAGCCCTGGCTCCTCTCCTCCTACTGCTCTACAGCATTCTGTCTCAAGTCCTCCCCCACATCCATCCTCTACCCTGAGCTGCTCACCAGGCAGACCACAGCAGACTCCTCACTGACCTTCTCCCTTCTAGACCTGTGCTCTATACCTGCACTGGTGTGCTTATGTGATCCCATAAATATTTATGTGATGAGTATTTATCGTTGAGTACCAGCAAGAAAATGTGTGCAGGTGGATAAAAATTGAATTAAACATGTGTTTTATGAATTCGAGAAACTTTTTTTTTTTTTTTTTTTTTTTT